CAAAACTAGCAGAAACGGGAACGTAAAGAGTCAAAGTAGCCGCGAAATAAGAAACAACCGTTCTGAGTGAGTTTAGCATGTTCCTCAAATTATCAAATCTAAGGAGCAAAATTTTTTTACGGTTAATTCTTTTTACCCTGGGGTAAAAAAGGTCACATACTTGATCTGATTATAACGAGAGCTCATGAGAAATTAGTTGGCCGCTGTACTGTGGACAATCCTTTTGTCTCGGATCATTTTGCTGTACACAGTTTGTTGGACCTTGCTAAATTACCACTCGAGCGTAAACGAATCTCATACCGCAAAATTCGTGATATTGATTTTAGCGAGTTTTGTGGTCAGTTGGAGAACACCAGGCTAGTAAGGGATGCTGCTTCTTTCAGTCTCGGTGAACTTGTTTATGAGTGTAACACTACATTAAAGTCGTTGTTAGACAGACACGCGCCTCTGAAGACTAAGGCCATTACTCTTCGCCCAACCGCCCTATGGTACACTAAGGAAATACGATCTGAAAAGAAAAAATGCAGAGCTCTCGAGTGGCGCTGGCATTCTTCTAAACGAGAATTGGATTATTCTACATTTAAGGAACAATGCCAAGCAGCAAAATTAAACTTAAAGAATAGGAGGCTCCTAATTTTTAGACTCCTTTTTGTAAACAGGAGGTCTTATCGCAGTCTGGTAACAGCCGTATGTACAGTTGGGTGAGAATATTTCCATCTACTGCGTTTAAGAGATGGTTTTTCCATATCACAACTGGCTTGTTTTAATAAGAATACTAGAAAAAGTGAACAAAGTTAGGATTACTTTTTCCTTTTGCAGTAAACAAACCGAGAGCAGCAAATGTCATAACCACATGGAGAACCTCACAGAACAGGAGTATCGGTGCAGTATTGCAAGGGCAGAATTGTCAGGAAATTCCTCATTGAGACATTGATGTCTCCTGCTCTCTACTGTTGCCACATTCTTTCGTCCAAGTATGACTGCAAATCTTTTCTCATTAAACCTTTCCTCCGTTTTTGACCAAGCTTGAGTTGGCTCCAAGCGGATTCTGCCTCCTGGGTATGGACTCCAGTACGCGGGTCAACAAAATTGTGTCTGTGGATGACGACTTGATGAGAGCTGGCGTTTGGCAATGCAGCCACTCTTCTGTAGGCTGCCCAGTTGTCGCTGTGGACTTATGTACCTGGCCTAATGCATCGCTGAATAATTGGCAGCAGAGTTGCTGCATTCCTTCTATCCACTACCTGAAAATAGCCTCTCGCCGCATTGTAGTCGCACGACACTATTCCAAATACCCACACATCTCGTGCTGCTCTCCTTCCCCTACCGTACTGGAAAAAAAGAAATTCACAGTATTATAATGTTTATAATCGGTTGTAGTAAGAATCAGCATGTTCCCAATAACTGTCAATTCTAACCTCTTGAACCCATTTTTCGATGGGAGGGGGGTTGGGTGTGGACTCATTACCATTACCTATACGGGGAGGATCCGCCCGAAAGGAGTACCTTTTTCAGTCCACAGTAGTTTGACAGAGTGGGGTTTTCCCTATGTCGAGGTGTTTGAAAAGGTAGAGAAACCTGTTGTTTAGGGATAAAAATGGTCCTCAAATGAAATATATTTTAGTTACGGATGCACTTTATGGCTGTACCATTTAATCGTTAGACAATCGTCATACGACTAATGAGGTATTAAGCAGGTACGTGAAAGGAGTAATATTTACCAATGGAACGAATATGAAATGGTATAGAAGAGGCATTGAACATTGGGGGGAGCACCTTCGCATAAAATTCCCCCCACCACCCCGTGATAAATTCATGACGAGAGATGATGAAGTAGGAGAGCCAATCCCAGTGGCCTGTAATAATTAATTGAAGGTTATTTTAGATCACACGTATTTTTTTTTTCGTGGCTAATTTTAATAACCACGCAGCACGTGACAGAACTAAAAACAGATTAGAAAATAATTTTCGTTTTTTATTTTTTCCCCCTTTGGTTCTGTAACTGCAACGACACTTTATTTGAATTATTGTTGAATTTCGATTTTTATTTAAGAGTATAGTAACATTGATCGATTTCGTTTCACCTAGGTACTCAAGTACTGATTGGGTATACTGTCTTTATGTCTCCTGTTGGAGTCGGGAGAGCCATTTTTCGTTCCTAACCGTTACCAAATGGAGGGCAAAACTTCTAAGGATTTAAGGTTTTTTTCCCTCTTTCTGGGCTCGGGATATTAGACTTTGGCTCCAAAAATGGACGGAAAAAAAAAAGAAAGAAGTTTACCTTAGCCTTGTGATTGAACTTGCCTTCATCACATTTTACGTCAGAGCCCGGGCTTCCAAATGGTATGATGGGTCTATCGGCCAAATCTCTCGAACACACGTCTTGCAGTCGCTTGAAAATATTTGAAATTAACCCATGGTTGACATCTAACCTGCGCGCGGTAATCCTCTGCGAATCGTCAGGAATGAAATAATAGATGGAGAGGAGGAAAGTCCCTAGTGCCACTCGAGGGAACTCTTTGAAAAAGCTGTTTGTAAGCAGGCTTCTTTTCTTCGTACATCCACTGCAACACCTAGGAGACGGAAAAGAAGTTTGGGAGTAAAACATGAAAATCAATCTCACGACTAAGTCGATTAAGTGAAAGCGCTAACGATTCGATCGTTCTATGAGAAACAATGTTAAACAAAAGAACGGTCCCGGGGAGTATTCCTCGGAATTCTTGGTGGGGGCGTGCCTCCGAGTTCTCCAAATGCTGACCCAGCCTCGAAGCAATTAGTGATGTCATTGTTAGTTAGACCAAAAAAGCAACAATGAAGAGTTCTTAAAAGCCATTTCGAATTGGCATGTTTCCTCTTTCTTTTTTACTTATTTGGAATTACTAAAACGATAAATAAGTTTGTAATACCCTCCCGGCTAGATCCCTTGAAAACCATACCCGATTTGAAACCAAAATGAACAAAGTACTTATTCCGAGCCAAAATGGTGCCAAAACCCCACCCTTTAGGGCAGCACACAACATATCTCATTTATTTTCCTTTTTTCCATATATTATTATAATTATTATTTTTTTAAGTTTAGTTTGCGAAACGGTTTTGGCCATCCGCTTGTCGATCCCTTACAGCCCGAGCAAAAAAGCCGACTTTCACCGGTGCAATTAGGGGCTACCGTGCCGGAAACCAGTATTCGCACAGCAAAATCAGTTTCGGCTAATTTCTAATTCTCTCTATTCTTGACTATACTTACACGAATTGGCCTTGGATCAAACGAGGATATTTACGTTACTGATCAACGTCTTGAGTTCCTCAATTTTGGTCGGCGATAAAAGTAGCATTGTCAACATTTTTTGATCATTTCATCTTAGTCAGGTCTCTTAGTGCAAAATATAGGCCGGATCGTTACAGACGTGACAAAAGTGTCAAATTTGGCACAGAGCTTCCTTAGCACTTGCCGATTAATGCTGGAGGGGGTGCCCGTTACAAATGGTCCTAATTACAGATTAAAGGGGGGGGCGGGGGGTGGTAAACTTTCACCTATAATAGCAGGTTGGGTTCCCTGTGGTGAGTACTCTTCTTGTTTGATTTGGCTAAAAAACATTTGTTTCAAATTTTTAAGTTTTTTTTACACTATTCAAAATAGTTTTACATGTACATAATACTGACTAGTGCCCAGTCTCCACACGGTAAGTGTGGTCATGTTCACTGTACGACTATCAGTGTCACTGCTAAGACTTGCCAGTGATAATATCATTACATATCAATTTAAACAGATCACAAAGCCAGCTTTCAAAGATGTCATACAATAACAAAAAACCCAAATGTATCACATCCTAAACGACAGAATCGTTAAATTTTGACATGCCACATGACCGACCTCATAAACCGTAACTGACAACGCGCCCACGTTGTAATTGTGCTGCTAAGATAAGATTATAATTTGCTTCGTTAGTAGCCCTGTCCTTGAGATAATGATTAAAACATGTCAACCTTGTCCTCAGGGGGAAAAGGAGGAGCAAGGGTGGCACATTTGGTTACTGCGCAGCCCTTAGTGCGCGAGGTCCCGAGTTCGATCCCCGGTGTCAACACATCCTTATTTCAACTTCTCTCCTTTCTGTATAGCTTTGACTAGCTTTAAATACCCTTAAAAAGGAGCATTGATGGAGAGAGGGGGGTAAAAGGGGCGCACCGTTGACCTCAAGTTTATTAGTTATTATTACTGTCACCAGTAACTGTGTGTTACTGTGGACAATTACAGAAAATACCAAAAAAAGCAAGGGTCAACAATAATTATGGCCTGGTCCCTTTTAATAATTGAGTGGTCATGATAAAGAAGCCCATTAGCCCCAACTTTGACCACTCAAACAGATTTCTGACAGATTACATACCGCAAAACTTTGCATTCACTTATGCCTATGTTGCCACACTAGGAGCCTAGAAATCCACTGCTGGTCACACCTTATTTTTATTGCTGAATATCATTCTAAAGAGCTTTACAAAATGTTTTGTTAGTAGGGGTGTTTTGAACATGATTGAAATTTAGAGATGGTGACAAAAACGAACACAAAAATAGTTACAAAACGAGACGCATGAAACAACCGCAATCTAATAATCGTGTTACACCGATTTAATGGCTCCTTTGGCTGCTATGTTGACGTTTTTGAAGATGGAAGTAGTATCACAGCTAGTCCCGGGTTAGGTATACTGTTTATTACTAGTTTCACGTTTCTTGAGACTTAAAGCCTGTTCACATAAAGGTTGGGGACCCCGGGTAGGTGAGGTAACCTGCTTTGGTGGGGTAAAAAAAATAACCCTCCTTTACATGCAATCTTACAACCCCGCCATCCTGGGGTGCACTTTCTCAAGATTATTGAATGGTCGCTAAGCACGTAAACAAGAAAAATGCTAGAAAACCACGTCTACGCTCACTTGCTGCTCTTGCTGCAACCTTCAGTGTTGTGGCCTTCTATCGTTACCTTTAATAACTATGTGAAGCCAGCCGGCGCCAAAGTGAATTTTGCGTGAATTTGATGTATCACGAATCCGACCCCGACTAGCCAGCGTTACCTCACCTTGAAACGTTGACATGGCAAAATTTGACCTCAGCTGAGAGGGCTACCTGGTGTTGCAGACCAGGCTAACCACCTTGAAGGGTAACCCCACCTTTCATGTAAACGTGATCAAATTAAAATTAGAGATTATATGGAGATGCAGGTTAATACCCCACCTAAGTTAGTTACCATGACTACCTAGGGTCCCCCTCCTCCATGTAAACTTAACTTAACTTAACTTACTTTATTAATACATATCCTACACTGGAAGAAAAAATACACAAGAACAGCCAAAGCCGGGGGCTTAAATGGCCTGAGGTCAGCAAAAAAAAAGACGTGAGGAATTTACGGGAATAGAAGAAGGCTTTAACTAAAATAATTACAATACAATTAAATCAAGAATGAAAAGGTCAGTCAGAAAAAAACATACAACTGAAATACAAGGCACTAAAAGTTAGTCCGACCCCCTTTCTGCAGTTTCAGCAGTTAAACCACTCACCATTTATCGTTTGAGTCAATCTTGTACCACTTGAGTCTCACTTTTAAGACTTGATAAGCTGTTATTATTTTTGGACATGAGTGCTTCATGCCCAGTGCCAAATGTAGAGGCTTGATGATGAACTGTGCTGTTTTGTGAAGCTTGGGCTAACTTGTTTCTTTTTTTCGTTGATGAGACCAGAGTTTTTTTTGTTAGTTTTTGCTTTGTAAAGCTTAGACAAACTGCGGGAATTGTAAATGATATGTACTTGTGCCACGATGCTTTCTTCTCTGTCAAAACATGCACGTGCGTCCAGCAGATAAAGAGAGACTGAAAGGCATCCAGGCCTATGTTTAGCTGAAAAATTAATTACTTTCCTAGGAAAGAACTATTCTGGGTTCTGTCATTTCGTTATTTGCTCTTCATGAACAGCTGTCATAAATCCCTGATAATGTGTGATACAACAGACTCTTTGACAATTTCTTTTTTTCCTGAAATTTCGTGTGTGAATCGCTATGCCATACGCTTTCTTTAGCTTAAAGTGACATGTAATGCCAAGTAATACTTGATAAATAAGGCTTAAGCCACACAATAAGGCCTCCTCTAATTGAAATACATTAGAAAAGGAGAAGAGAACCCCAGAAGCTGAGTACTTGCAAGTTATGAAGCAAAGACGAGGCCATCTTAGAAATGACTTATGAAAATGTGGGCGGACTGTGGANCCCCCCCCCCCCCAAAAAAAAAAAATGGGACAAGTGTGATACGAATGATCAGTCATGCATGCCAAAGTAATCAAATGTTCATTAAATATGAATTGCCAAGTACTTGGCGATAAATAATCGTCGCGTGCTTTATGAATTTTCAGGGGTCTTTACTCACCAGTGGAAACCATCGACATGATCTCCGTTCCTTTCCTTCATTTCCATATCTTGGTTGCACTGTCTGCACCGTAACGGGTTGGCCAGAAGAGACCGTTGTTGAAGCCATTGAATCAAATTCATCCGTGATCCTCGCTGTAACTCAATGCATTCAAACAGATCCATGGTTAAGTCAAAACTAGGGAGCGTTCATACACGAGAGAGAGAGAGACGCGAATTACCGGGAATAAAAGGTGGTTTGTTAGTTCCTATCTTAATAAACATAGCGATGCTCGAGCATATTTCTGATTGGTTGATAAAACGTGAGAAATCAACTTATTTATTACTTGTGATGTCCTTAAATAGTTCATGTTCATTTTCACCCTCGGCAGCCTAATTTTCTAGGATCATCCTCTCCTTTACTTCCCTTATTTATTATTATTTTTTCTAACAACTGGACACAACGAAACGGTAATCTCAGTATTTGGTACGAATTCGGATACCCAACAGAAGTGCCTGCGGAAGTCACACCTCTCAACTTGTCATGTTAAACCGCACCGCCTTCTTACAATACAATACAACAAAGGCTTATCATAGCCTTTGTTTCAAAACCAAGTGGCATCATTCTAAGTCTGCTATCGGCTTCTTGCCACCCAGTCAACTTCAGAGCGATGGCTAACCGTGCATTATCTAGAACTGTGATTTTTTTAGAGAAGCGTGTAACTGCTGTGCCTAGCAATGTGTATTATGAAAGGCTTCTAAAAGGAGGGCGCCTGAAAGAGATTTTGTTCACGAAAAATACCACCTCGCAAGAGATGGAGGTAAAATACTGGATTGCTTTCCTTCCTTGGCTGGAAGCGACCTTAGTCAGTGGGTATTCCAATAATATACTTTTAGTTAGAACTAGTATCATGCTTTTGGAACAGTACAGGAAGAATCAAGCGGTCAGATCGTTTCGTTTCGGGGCCGGTATAGTGCATGTAGTGAGATCGTTCCACTTATAACGAGTCAAGTACAGTTTTCTCAATGTGTATTATAAGGCTGAAAGAAGAGCATCGTCTATACTAATGACCACACATCCTGGATAGAACTCTTGTCATTCTATGAAATCATTTATTCG